CTCTCTCTCTCTCTCTCTTTCTCTCTCTTTCTCTCTCTCTCCGACACGTTGCCTCTCTCATCGTCTTTTCTGTCTGGAAGTTGAAGTTTATAAGATGCCTCGAAAGTGAGTGTGTATCGAGGGGTTCGAGGTAAAAGAGACGAGCGCAATAAAAGTATATATATACACGTACAGAAGAGCGGAGAAAATTGGCTTCTGCGGGAGAGCTCTTCTTTTTTAGATAAAAATTTTTTTTTTCCCTCCCCCTCGCTCTTACCCCATCGTAGAACTGCGTACAGCTTTTCGAGTGCTTAATATTGAAACTTTTTCTTTTTTTCTTCGGATACACCGAGTGGCTTGCTCCTACTTCCCTCCGTTTCAACAGAGTATTTATTGGTAAATAACACACACGCGTTGAACAAAAAAAAACACACATCTTGAAAGTGCTCTCTCGTGAACTCGCGAACTCGCCTACCATCCGTTATCTTTAGTCTGCCTCGTCTCGGAGCAACTTACGCGCACTACACCCTCGTTGCGAAGAGAATGAATGATTAACAAGTTTGTATTACACACCCCCGGAGCCGGGCTCGAAAAATACTACGTGGTAGTAGGACCCCACGCGGAAGAGTAATCGTCCAAGGTAGCTGTAATATCGAGCTCGAAATTTTCGCAAATACCGCGGCAGCGTGGCGAGCTCTTCTTGACTGCAGGGTCCCTTTAAAGTTTCGCTCGAGAAGAAATGACGATAAAAAAAAATAAATAAATAAATAAAAAGTTGTTACGAGAGTCGAGATGAATTGCCGAGAGACGACGAAAAATAATAATCAAATCTCGTGTATAGGTGCGTATGGAAAGGAGAGGATCACATAACATAGGATGGCTCGAGATGTGGAGAAAAAGCTCCTTCGCGAAAGGTGCCAGATTTTATCACCCCCTGACAGGCTGCGTGGTAAATGAATACCCCGTTTTCGTGAGCATTAGCTCGTCGAGGAGGTATAAGTATACGTAGAGGTACAGGCAGAAAGAGAAGAAAAATGTCGAGGAGGGGCGATGTATAGTTTAACGGGCCGGGTGCTTTTGATTTGAGGCACGTAAGAAAAGCAACCAACGCTCCATCGTCGGCGGGTACATTGAAATCAGATACCTACCAGGAGTGAGGGGGAGTGCGTTAAACTGCGGCTCTCTTCGGCTCGTGATCCGTGGATGTGCCGCGCCCCAAGAATACGAAACGAGAGAACCCGGGGGGGGGAGGGGGAGACGAGGAAGAAGAGAAAAAATACACAAGAGAGGGAGAAAGACGGCTCGGGAAATGGGGATAGCAGTTGCCCGCCTTCTCGGCTTTCCGGGGTCCATGCAGTTAACAGTGCGAAGGAGGTGGTGATGGGGGGAAGTAATTTAAGAGGCGCTTGAAACACGGGCGACGAAAAGCAAGTTTTGGTCGTTGTCGTTGCTGCTTGCGTTGTTTATTACATTTTAAATGGCGGAAGTAATGACTGAGCCGCACTTTTTCCTCACTATGGCGCGTGCCGTGGGAAGACAAAAAAAAATAGGGTCGGTGGGGGCACGACGCCCGCCAGTTCGGAAGGGTGAAAGCCTGGCTGTTCTTATTTTTCGTGGAGTTGGGGAAAAACCTGAGAGTTCAGGAGGGACATGGTTAATTCCTGAATTTTCGATCAAAGTGGATTCTCCAACGAAAGTGTTTTGGTTACAACAAATTCAATCACAGCCACGTAATGACAAGATGAAATTGATTTTGTTTTTTTTTCCGACCTCCTCCATCCCAAGTACGATAAAAGTGGGAAAAAATCACACGCTCTGATTTGATGCTAAAAAAGCAGTGCTGAAATACCTGAAGTTTCGTTTTTCCATGACAAAAAATATTTAGTATATTATTGCTACCCTCGTAATGGCAAAACCATTATTAACTGTATCTCTTTTTTTCCCCTGGGTATCTAATCTGCACAAAAGATACTTTAAATAAACAGCCATATTTTCAACTGTAAATGAAAAAAGTCAAACAACTTTGTACTGACGCCTTGCCATTGGGTAATGCTTATTTTTTTTTTTTTTTTTCTTTTTTTTCAATCGAAAAAAGATACACTAACGATAAACTTGTTAAAAGTAATCGTTATTTTTCACTCCAGGAATGCCAAGTTAGTAAATGCATCGAATAACGTTACTTGTCTATTAGAGCTCGAGCAAACAGGAGGCGGTAAATTATTTAGGGGATTGTCAAACTCGTCTTCCAACGCATTAAGCCCGATTACCCTCGAGACTAATTCGAGCTTTCGACTTGATAAACTAATTTTAGACCCGCACAATGAATAAGCACACCTTGAGTGATCGCAATTTACGAAAGTTTATTTACACTTGGCGTGGAAAAGAAAAAAGATGTTCCCCGACGATCAACGATCAACTGTGAAAATACAAGAAATCAAAGAGATTTAAAATGAGAAAAAAGCTCCGTTGTTTGAAAATCCCGTCTAAAGGAAAAATAAGGATAACACTTTTCTGCACACCTAATTATAGTTTACGTCTGTGCGTGGAATAATTTCTTCCTGCGCTGAAACCCCCCCTCGCACAGTTGGAGCTTCAACAGCGCAAGACCCGATAAGTGCGGGGCGTATTCGTTTGTTGACTTTGACGATGTGTACAAACGCTTAATTCAAGTCGGAGTAAAGACAAATTTGAAGTAACTGATGATGGTGATGAAGAAGAAGATATTTGGCAACTGTGATATAAGGAGTCGGCCAGAGGTGACGGGGCGTAAAACAAACGCGGTTGGGTATCACTTGTACGTTTGTACATCGTTGCCGTCAGAGAGGTACAATCAAGGCCTCTCCCGTGCAAACGCCGTCTTGCGTTTTCGATCTGCATTACAATGTACACGACGCTCGGCCTGCGGTGGCCTTTGAGCGATAATCCCGTCCCTTTGTCAGCTTTCCATATCCCCTTTTTCTCTCCAACTTGCTCCGACGAAAAAAGGCCCCCCCAACCACTTGTCTACTCTCATTAAGTGGGTGTACGGAGTGCTAGAGTTGGTATTCGTTTGGATGCCACGCATATCCTCAGAAATGACACGCTTACGCTTTTGAAAGCGGCGCGACGCACCCTTGCGAGCAATTTACGTGAAAATAGATTTTTTTTTAATTTTTTTAAATTAAAAAAAAAAAAAAAAAACACGCTAAGAAGAGAGACGGGGCGTTCTCGGGTGGGCATCAATAACGCTCTTTTTATGCAATTTGGCCTAGTTCGAAAGCCCCGGCCGAGGGAAGGTGGAAGCCTCCTCCCGAAGCAACCACCGATCATTCGTACCTGCTCTCACGGAGAGGGGAGGGGATGAGATTCTCGGGGTGCAAGCAAGACTTGATTTATTTGTCGGTCGTTATTTCCTCTCTCTCTCTTTCTCCGGCTCGCTCGTTTCCCCGCGGCGTCTCGAAAAATATCGCCCGTAGGGAGGAGGCCTCGAGAAATCCCACCGTCCCGTTTTGTCGGACGGCTGGCCCACTTCAATAATATTAAACGAATAATTGGACCTACCTTCGAGTTCCAACAAGAAGCAAAGCTCCCTCCCGCTTTACCGAGAATTATAATCGACGGCCCCGGCCTCGCCAAGTTGAATTGCCTCTCCCTTATATTGTATACGTGCTACATACATATAAATAAGCATATCGTTCAACTTTATACCTCCCTCTCTCTCTCTTTTCGTAAAAACGTGAGCACAACGACACCATCACCCCTCGATCAAATTTGTGCGGCAAACATTGACTTTGGCTTCGGATGTATATATAGGTCTACGCAGCTTTAATACTTCGCATCTTATACACGCCCATCGTTGGCACAAGTACGATACTCTCGGTCCCGAGCCCTGCGATAAAACCGTGTACCTACACCGAAGAAACAAAGGAAAAACTTTTGCGTGGCCTCTCCCTCGCGCATCTCCACGTTCGTCATTCGCATCCCCCGGAGCACGGGCTCGGCAATGGTCATTTTATTATACCATCAACGGCAAAAACCTCGCTTTATTAGGATTTTTTATCGCCAAAGGCGCCACCCACCCTTCCCTACCCCCTGTCTTTCTTACCTACAAAGTCAAAGCTTTACGTGTGGATACGCACTTACAGCGAGCTCGAACGCATTATTCCTCGGAATCCGGCAATCCACACAATTGGTCGGTCGTGCTTTCTCACGTCCCTCCTCGTATTCACGTGCGCACACGTATACTCAAGTGTGTACAACATGTGTATTTGCATCCCGTTCATTTGCATCGCTCTGTATAGCGGTTGGCCTGGTGGTACGTGAGAGGCCAAACTTATTGGGCTCATTATCGCATGTTGTGCCTCATTCCTGGCCAACGAGGGAAGTATATATACCCATCAATGCTCATTGCTTTTGCGTGGCGTAAAATTTGGGCGTCTAATGATACGCTCGATACGCTCTCGAGAATGCTCAACCCTGTTAATGATCAGAGGTGGGTCTTGGTGTACTGTTTCTGCCTTCGCTATAGATCGGTTTTATACCCACTCGTGAGAGCTTTCATCGAACCGTAAAGGGTTTCTGCATCACGATGCGAATTCCACGTTCGTTCGCATAAGTACACACACACACACACACACACATATATATATATATATATTTCTATCTCGCATTGGGCTCTTGTCCCTCCGCTAGTGCGACCATCAACTGCGGGGGGCCGAAAACACGTGGACACGGGTATAAGGACTGGAGAACGCATGCGTGGGACGACGCCGTGGGTGCGAGCAAGCGAAGAGAGAGATTACAAATATATACGGACGGCGTGGGGACGTTTCTTGGCTCCAAGATCAGTCCGCATCAGGCGGGTGGCTGAGCCTGCAGCCCAAAGTTCGGTGACCCACACCCACGTGAAATAACCCAATAACCCTTACGCGCATCTTCCAATGTATCCTCGTTACATTGTTTCGTGAGTGCAGCTTTTTTTGCCAATACTTTTCGTCGCCGTCGTCTTTCCAAGTTGTCGGAGAAAAGTACGTATCGGTATGATGACTGTCTCGCTCGTCCTGGCGGCCTACTGTCTCGTCCTTCTCGACGCCGTTTACTGTAAGTACCTCGAAATCGTCCAGTTTCTCATCGTCCCGTATACCTTATACTTTTTACAATTACTTTCGAATGGGTCATCATGACTACATATACATACTGAGCGCGTAGTGCACCGCTCCCTAGGTGTACGGACGGCGCGCAAATTTAAATTCATTTCTATGTTGCTAGGGAGACAACTTGAGCGCATTCCCAAGGACAAGTTTACTAATTGCCCGTGCGCGCCAGTGCGGCTTCTTTTTACCACCTTCCCTCCCTCTCTCTCTCTCTCATTCGGCTGTTTACCTGCTTTGTAGTGTACGTGTATACATGCACACGTCCTCGCGAGAGTGTCTGCCATCTGCAAAGAGGAAACTAACTCGGAGGCGTGGGGTAGGTACACCTATATGCACGATGCGTTACTTTCTCTCCCTTTCAGCTCTCCTGCCAATGTCCATACGCACGTGTGGGGGGCTGTTGTATACCTGCCCCGTACAACTGCTCCCACCCCCCCCCCGCCGTGGTTATGCAAACAGCACAACAGTACACAAGTATAACCGCACGTACGTACGGGGTGCCCTTTGGCACGTATACACTCCTTTCTAAACTTCAATTCACCACCGTACTATGTACAACACGTACACAGCGCGCCACCGCACCCGTTTCCCATTACTTTACTCCGACAACTGTAGGATAAGTATCATTCCTCGCCATCGCGCGTAACCGTATTTACATAGAAGGGGTGTATTTACTTATAATTATTCTTTTTCCTGTCTTTGTTTGTGACTCCTCGTCAACGCTGTCGCTGCTCCAGCGCGACTGCCAATCTGTATCGGATGTAGTACATGTGCTCCGTGTACCTATGAACACAAACAAAAGTACAATGTGACTTGTTACCGGGTTTCCGGACCCTGCTGTTGTTTGATTTGATTTTTCTTTTGTCATCCCATCTTTTTTTTTTTTTCCATCAAACGTATGTATACTTTCTCTTCTCTTTTTATGCGCTCCGGCGCTCGTGATTGCTTTTGCTTCATACGTTTTTCGCGCACCCAGCCTAAACGAGATTTTCTTACTATATACACTCACCGACGGTCATTACGACACGCGTGCCTCGTTGCAACGAGTCAAGTTTTAAAATACATTTTCTACCCTTGGCCGGTATAAAAAGCATTGTCGAAATCTGCCCCCAACAGGCGCACCTCGTCGATAACCTTCATTCGGAGGCATTGTTTTTTTGCACCCTCGCCTGCGCTTTTTTATCTTCCCTCCATCCTTCCTGCACAGCTTGGAAAGTTCGATGCAGAGCCGGCGTCTTCCTCTCCTTCCTCCTCCAGTATACAATGACATAACTCTGCTGGTGCTCCTGTTGTGTAGCCAATCTCGTTTCACGTCATTCCAAATCTTGACGGATGACTCGCCCGGCCGATTTCTCCTACCTTGCACATGGAGCGCATTATAGAAGTTGCAGCAGTGGCAGATACGTACAAGTACGTATGGTGGTGTTGAGATGCCGGATAACCTTTCCTCGTTTTGTTTTCGCAATAGGCGGAATACTTAATAGGCGGGTGAACTGATTAACATCGCCAGTGTCCGCCGTAGATGACAATCAGGTGTATAAGTTCGTTCATTTGATTGTACCACGGGGGGCAAAGTATACCGCTATCAACCCATTCGGGCACCTTCGCCCCCCCCTCACCCCCTTTACTATGCACCCTCGCTCTGTACAGTGTACGTAAACACGGAGAAGGATATGTACTGTAAAACTCAATTGGTAGGCCGTGTCCATCGAGTTATATTGATTCTTGATAATTAATTTCAGCGCGTACAAGTACTGAGGCCAATGTTCAACTCTATTATATAACATACGCCAATAACAAGAACAACCGGAGAACAAGAAGTCATAATGACGATGGAGTTATCCCGCAATTAAAAGTTTTTCCCGGTTACTTGAACGCTACCTTCGAAGCCGGGCTTGCACAAGCTATATATATGTATATATGTACGTATTCGTGCGTTGGGCCCTTCGCGAATCTTGAAAATTAAGTTTGATTACGTAATTACAGGCTTGTCGCGTCGCACAAGGGTGGGGATTTCCATTACATCTTTGCTCTCGTAGCGCACTTTTTTCTCGTGTTTATCCGGGAAATGGCTTGTCGTCCGCGTGTGTATTATGCAAACGGTGCGCGATGAAAGCACGTACATGGAACATTCCACCGAGTCTTTTTTTTTTTTTTTTCATTATTGCTTATCTAGATGGAGAAGCCTGTAAAAGTTCCAAAATTCAAATTGCACGTGCAAACAGCAACGTTTAGTTGAAACTCAATTAGATTCCGCGCCTCTGCCGGTGCCGATTTCCTTCGTCAAAAGTAAACTGCTCGCGAGTACTGCGGGTCTTATGATTTACCGCGAGGCCAAGTTTCCCTCACCATAATATTTTCCTCCGATCCACTCTTCGAAAATTTCGCTCCCGCGACTTGTGTACACTATAGCCAACTGTACAAACACACGAGTCGCTTCAAAGCCATGGAATAGCCTACTTTTATTTCCAACATTTTCCCGCGAAACTGCGCCAATCATAAGTACGTAGCCTTTGGCGGAATGATCCGTGTACGCGCGCAAACTCCCTATGCTCCCGAGAGCCGGATCAGCAGTGCTCGACCCCCTCACCCCCTTGCTTCCGGCGCTGTCCTGATTTAACACCCGTCATCCCGCGGACCCTTTCTTTCTCACTCCGCAGCTTTTTAGCGAAATTGCTTTGCGACTCGGCTCTCCCGGTTCATAATTTTCGTCCGTGTACGCCCCAAACTTATATTTTTCATTCCTCCGTTGGACCTCAAGTTTCCCTAATGGATTGAAAATTGTTTTCAATACAATGTATCCCAGATGGACAATTACCTTGAATGCGGCGAGCTCGCAGACTTGGAGAATTTCGACCAATGTGTACTGTTACACCCCTGCAACGAAAAATTGCGAGTACAGCGATCCCCGCATACCCGAGCCTCTTAAGCTCGGGACGACAAAGACCGTGTTCGAATTCTTCTCCGTCCCTCGGATTCGTGTTTCTCGGGAAATACATTGCCGTAAGACTTTCATCGTTGTTATCCCTCCCACTGTACAGAGTGTATACGCCATCCCTCGGGCATAAATCCATTAGGAGGCTCCGGTATTCCTGACTGGCCGGAATCGGGAGAAAGAGACGAGGGGAAAGACAAATCGAGGATCCTATGTGTACACGTTGGCCGTCGTTCAAGCGGCCGATCCTCGATGATACGAAAAGCGAGGCGCGTCTATACTGGTACCTACGTCACATGGACACCCACTTTTTTTGCCCATCGCATACATCCGTAAAAGGTGAACCAAAGTATTGTATACCTATTTATTTATTTATTTTTTTTTTAAACTTTTTTTTTGTTTTCTTTTTTCAACTCTGCACTTTACACGGATACGCTTAGAGAAGAGAAAGGATAAAGGAAAAGATGGGTGGTGACGCAATGAGAGAAATGTGTTTGCACTCTGGAGCCCCGCCAGATAATCTGCGACAATAAATTCCCTACCCTCCCTCGTCTGGTCCTTCGCCGCGTGTGTGTTTGTCCACGTGTCCATGTGTGTGGTTGTATACCCATGAACCATCGGTTCTCGTCTCCTGTAAGTGTACACGTCGAGGTTAAGATATCTTTCGCACGACTGGACCCAGTAATACGTGTGTATTCGCACACCCACGTGCACACGACTCTCCCCCACCACCCCTATCAGCGAACCCCGTAGTCGGGGCGACGACCGTCGATAATGCACCATCTTTTTTTTCTTTTCTTTTCCTCTTCTTTTCCACCACTTTGTTTGCCTTGCCGCAGCTCTTCGCGCATTCCTCCTACTCCTCGAATTTCCAGGCTCTACTCGCTTTCTACGGCCACACGATGCTCCGGCGTCTCGGCCAAGTTGTACACCAGATAAAGTTGAGCGAAATTTCGCCGTGAATGTTAATGTAATGGAAGGTATTTTCCAAAACCCGTGAATCGTAAGAGGAGGAGGAGGAGGTGGAAGAACACGAGAGGGGGGGGGGGAAACTTTCTCGCCAACAAATTTTTACAATTCGTGTGTAAATCCAAAAAATCTACCGAGGGCTGCAAGCGCTATCCTCCGTTCAATGTGTATAAGATTGGAGGAACCGCGAGAACTTTCCAATTCGCCCCAATGAATACCCAAAAAATAAACATTAGGCCCCTCGGTGGTGATAATAATAATAATTATACGGCAGCCCGTTGGAATGTATGTTTAATGCATAATATGTAAACGCGGGCTCCGAGACTGTACTCCCCGAGCCCGAGTTTACCCATCCAATCTGAATCCGAGCCGTCAAACTACGCGCCCAGCCAATCAATCAATCGGCCCGGCTCATCCATCCGTCTTCCTGGGCTCGACTTTTCCTCCCCCCCCCCTCCTATTGTTTCCACCGTCTCGTCTGGGTACACGTATACTCTTTGCCCAAGAGAACTCGGCCGAGACCGGGGGGTGGGGGAAAGATTACCTCTTACTCCTTTGTGCGCGGGGGAGCGAAAAGAAAGGAAAATGCACGGCTGAACGGGCGACGAGCTCGAGCGAGCCGTCGAGGAAAATTCGATTGCGAAATCTATAGAGACGGAACGCCGGCGGTCGTCGTCGTAGTCGTCTTTGTAAAGTAATAGTCAGAGCCGAAGATTTAGCGGGTGGAGAGAAGGAAGAGGCCAACTGCCTGAGAAATCAGTCCCCCCCCCCCAAATCGCTTTACATAGCCGGCGAAAATCTACCCAAGCCTTTTTTTCTGATTTCGCTTCGTTTCCCGTTCCCCTTTTTTTTGTCCCCCAGTAACCCGATGCTCTCTTGGGATTTTCAGACTCGATGATATGATGGTTGTCACGTTGTTGACCCGTGCACCGGGAATAGCCGTTGGGCGTTGTAATATAACGATTCCCAATGATGCACTACAACGTTGGGAGGGGGGCAAAATTGTACAGAGAATATTTGAGCCAAGTCAGCTTATCGCTCTC